TAATTTATCAAATACTTTATTTTAATATAGACCTTTTTAAAAAAATTTTTACAGTTGGAAAGATGGAATGGGGTAAATAAAATAAAATAAAACCAAAATAAACAATTAAGTTATTCTCATCTCAACTTTACAAAATCAAATTTTTAAAAAAGTAAGGAAAATATATAATAATTACTGTATATAGAAAACAGTAGGAAATGATTCATTATTCTAAACCTGAAAATGTAAACAATGAATCAGGTAATTTGATGGTTTGCAGACAGGATTTATTACAAGAACTTTTTAATGACTTGTTTATTTATATTTGATATAATGACATTCATTGTACTTACACTGTTATATATATGTGTGTGTGTGATTTTAGATGTTTTAACTGAAAAATTGTTTCAATTAATTGATAGATCATCACCAGTAGCAATTGTGAGACCTGCTCTAAAAACTAGATCAAAATTGATGGATCAAGGTGTTCAATGGTGATAAATCTATATTTGATTAATCCATTGATTGATTAATTGATTGATTTATTAATTAAATATAAAAATTTATTTATTAATATTTAAAATTCACTAAAGGGAATGTAAAGAATTTATAATAATTCAAGGAATGATGGACTAAAGTTAAAACATTGGACAAAAGTCTCAAATATTGAAGATCAGGGTAATTTATTTATCTATTAATTGATTAATTTAAAGCTGTAAACAATATCTAAGGCCAAGCTTTTTTTCTAGAAATATATCCATTTTTTAGATTTAATTGTTCTGTTGAAATCAAGAGTTATGAGGATGATAAATATAATAAATATCTAATAGGTATAAATATAGATTCACATTATATATCAGCATCTTATCTTCACATATATATCTACATATATATAATCTATTTATTCTAGATCGAGATTGGTCCAAGGAAGAAACTGATTATCTGTTTGATATGTGTAGAAAATATGATCTTAGGTTTATTATTATACATGATAGATATGATTTTCCCAAATAAGATTAGAACTATTGAAGTAAAAATTTATTAAAATTTATATTTATATTAATATGTGATTTAAAAGATGATGATGGCAATACTAATAGTCCAAGAATTCTTAAAAAAATTAATCCTCACTCACCCTTCTTTTCACTTTTTTAATATATAAAAAGGATTTAAAAGAAAGATACTACTCAGTGTGTAAAAAGATTTTACAAATAAAACCATCACAACCCGGTAATAATCAACAAGACAAAGGTGCAATTATTGCATTGAATACTTATGATAAAAGTAAAGGAAGAAAAAAGAAAAAAAAATTTACGTCATTTGTATAACCGTTCTTCGAAACAAATAGTAGTATGGATATTTATTATATGCTTATCGTTTATATTTGCATTTGTATCTGTATTTGTATTTGTATTTGTATTTGTATTTGTATTTGTATTTGTATTTGTAGAATAACCACATATAGTTGTGATATATTTATAGGAAGAAGAGTCATTGTTAAAGGAATATGGGCATATTGAATAAATTGAAAAGAAAATTAGGAAAGAAAGTGAAAGTTTGACGAAATTATTAAGCCTTCGAGAAATCCGGTAAAATAATAAAAATTTATTATCATTAATAGTTAAATAATATTATAATAAAATGATTTATATAGCAAAAAAGAAAGAAATCATTTCATAATGGTCCATTAACACCTATTGTTGAATTTAATGGATCATCAAGAGCTTTCAATCTATCTGCTAGGGATTTGCTTAAAAGACAACAACAAAACCAACATTATCGTACATCAACTTCAACCACTACTGTATCAGAGCGTAAATAAAAATTTTACTTTTCTAATTTTCTAGTAATCTTTTGTTATTTCTCTTACAATTACTTCCTCTTCATTTTTAGCTCATTCAAAAGTTGAAGCCATAATACCTATACATACACGGTGTGAAAAATTCCCAATAAGAGCATCAGTTAGAAGTCAAAAATATCAGTTCCAAAACAAACTCATTAACAAAAGTACAAAAGACTTTCCAGGAATGTGGACTAGGGTATCTTCCCACTGTACCAACTGAAAGTGTTTGTGGTAAATGGACAGAATTACAAAAGGCTATTCAAAACTTGTTAGATTTAAAAAAAAATCTTGAAAAACAAGAAAATGAATTGAAGACAAAACAAGTAACCTTGCAAAAAGCAAAATCGAGTATCATCGATAGCTCTAACGTCAACAATTCATTGGTAAGTATTGAATTAATTGATTGATTGATTGATTGGTTGATTGGATTTACTCGGATGATAATATATAATATATAATATATAATTGTTTTTTAGACAAATGGATCCAAGTCACCTCGAAGTAACAAGAAATTAAGAAATTAATTAAATTAATTACATTGCATTTTTTAATTTTACAAAAAGTAACAAAATATTAAAATTATAAAATAAATATATTATACGCGGAAAATAACTAGCCAACTATTTAGATACCCTTAAGTTTTATAACTAGGGTATCTTCCCACTGTACCAACTGAAAGTGTTTGTGGTAAATGGACAGAATTACAAAAGGCTATTCAAAACTTGTTAGATTTAAAAAAAAATCTTGAAAAACAAGAAAATGAATTGAAGACAAAACAAGTAACCTTGCAAAAAGCAAAATCGAGTATCATCGATAGCTCTAACGTCAACAATTCATTGGTAAGTATTGAATTAATTGATTGATTGATTGATTGGTTGATTGGATTTACTCGGATGATAATATATAATATATAATATATAATTGTTTTTTAGACAAATGGATCCAAGTCACCTCGAAGTAACAAGAAATTAAGAAATTAATTAAATTAATTACATTGCATTTTTTAATTTTACAAAAAGTAACAAAATATTAAAATTATAAAATAAATATATTATACGCGGAAAATAACTAGCCAACTATTTAGATACCCTTAAGTTTTATAACTATTATATTGTCTGCAAATTCACCCCAAGACATTCTTTTATTAACAAATATAATGAACCAAGTCATTGATACTATAAGCCAAAACATCACACCAATTGCGGAAAATGTAAGATCTGAAAGAGTTATAAATATACACGATAAATAAGTCCAATCAATAATGAATGATTGATTGAAAAATTTAATAAAAAAGTCTCATACATTTTCTGATTTCTCTGCCTATATCTTGACGTTTTGTGTTTGGCCACATATAAATAATGTTGATCAACCATAACCACGGTAAAAATATTAAACCTATGTAAAAGTATTTTTTACATAAGGATAGAGTATAAGTTGGCGAGGTGAATTCTTTAGGCTGGGAAGGAGACGACATCTTCAACTCGTGATATAATAATAAAGAATTGAGGTAATTTTTTTAGTGTAACATATTCATTCCTAATCCTTTTTAATAAGTGGTTGATCACCCATCAATATCTCACAATAAACCTGATTGATGACTTTATTTAATTTATCCAATGGACATATTACCCTTTTTTACTGGTTCAGTTCCAAAGACCAGTCTTTTGGAACAGGTTCCAAGATTGGTTAAAAACCGACCTAATACTGATTCCAAGATCACAGTTTTAAAAACCGGTTAAAAACCGGTTATTATTTAAATATAAAGATTATTTAACTCACATGTCATTAAATCACCTGTTGAATTATTGGCAGAAAAGAGATTTGATTTGTGTTTGTGTTTGAATAGAATTAATTTAAAGGGTTATTTTCAACTAAAATCAAAAATCGAAATCCAAATGGAATAGAAAAAATCAAATATAATTCTAAATTCAAGCCATTATTTAAAATGGTGCCATATCACCTTTAGTACAAGTCTCTTTATTGAATTTTCGCAACACACCTACCTACCTTTGAATTAATCTCTCTTATTGACATTATCCTATTTATTTATTTATTGATGTTTTGTTTCGACACGTGTTGTTTAATTTGTATTAAGTCAATGAGACACAATAGTAGACTTAGTAGACAACATCTCCAAAGTCAATAAAGTAGACTTGGTCATTAAAGTGGTCCTCTAATTATAAACATGTATATATAAATGACAAGAACTTTTCCCTTTCTTGAATAAAAGAAAATAATAACAAGTTTCAACTTGAAAATAACCAAAACTAAACATCCTATTCAGTTTGATCCTCATAACCTATTATTTATTGTCATCATCAATTACAGTCAGGGAATATACCAAATTTGGACTCTGGAAAAATTCATCAATCAATTCATATATGAGTTTATGTGATACTTGTTGCATATTGAAAAAAATGGCACTGATGAAGAATAGCATATCTCAACAACTACAAAAGATAATTTAATAAAATTACATTCATTTAAAAGCCTATTGAATAGTTTGTTAAATAAAAAAAAAATTTTATGGATTACTATTACCATTTTTTTTTTTGTAAAGTTGATTTACATCTTTTTTTTAGATGTCACTAAATTTTTTGGCTTCACCAAATAGTATTAGACATCTCAAAGGTAACAATTAAACAAAACCGTACATAATAATAACAAAAAAAAATACAGCTATTTTGCAGCTCAATTTCTAGAGATTATTTATATAAAACCCCATGCTTCCAAATTTTTTAGAATTTTATCAATTAAAAATAAAGTAAATTCAATTATTTTTGGAAAAAGAAATCTAATATAACAATTGCTCTAAAGCCTACATAATAATAATGCATTTCAAAATTTCTATATGTGATAATTCAAGATTGTCTGATCCTTTGATATAATTTTTATTATATGATTTTTATTACTTCTTTAGTTAGAATGCAGGTGCCATTTTTTTCGCAACATACTGTATATGTCACCGATTAATTTTGGGAGAGCGTATTTTTAATTGGTGATAACAATTATTTTTATTTATGTGTGGATCAGAATGAATAGGTTATCAACGAATTGATTTTGGATTAGCAAATAATTTTGTTTAAAGAAGGTAATAGTTTAAATAAAATAAAATATTTACTATTTTATTTATTTAGTTTTACTTAGTTTTTCTTAGTCGAAACTAATTAACTTATGACAAAGTTTTCCTTAGTTGAAACTGATTAACTTGTAAGAAGTTTTCCTTAGTCGAAACTAATTAATTTGTAAGAAAGTTATTTTTACAGTAGTTCAAATTCGAGTTCTTTATATACATGTTAGTTAATTATAAGCCCATTTGGTTTCTGGAGCCCATATGGGTTCGCACGCCCGTTTGGATTCATGAGCCCATTTGGGTCCACGCGCCCATATGGGCGCATCGTCACTAGAGATGCGATCCGTGGATGGTCAATCCGGATATCCGCAAAACAATCCGGATGGACGGATGGCTTTTTTAAAGTGCTAACGGATTGCGGATTGAAATTTTAGAAATTATAGGATATCCGGATGATCCGTGTAAATAAAATATCATGTGAATAAAAAAAATTTATGTACTAGTACAAAAAATTTTAAAATATAATACTTTTTATCATCTTTATCTAATTCATCTTTTGATGCCGTTGCTTCTTTACTAGTTTGT